AACTCTCAACGAGCACACGTTACGCGCAACATCCACACACGCTCACGCACGCACGCACACACGCACACACCTATCGACGTTTTCTCCAGTTCCAAATTCAATGAATTTCGCGGCCGCGTCGCCGGTTAATTTTTTTTTTTTTTCATTTCCCTAATCTCTAAACCTTATAATTTTTATACTTGGCATACCCCAAATATGGCAGGAAGGCAATCTTTACGCTTAATAAAGTACAGCAATCGGTATTGTTCTCTCTTTTGCGTCCTCGGGTGTTCGCTCGAGCCGAACATACATATTTATCTGTTCTCTTTCGTTCCGTAAGAGGTTTTTATCTTTTTTTTTTTTCCCCCCTTCGTCTTCTCGTCTCGACGGACAGTCGTAAGCAGATCTCGCAGGTCGCGCGATCTCGTCGGACTGTTCGCGGTTACACGGACGCGCAAACGAACTACGATCCTCTCGAATTTTTGATTTCTCGACCGGATATAATATAGGCCGGGCCGCGGGATCGTTTCCTTTGCTGTTTACCCGGACGTTGATCGAGAACCGCGATCACCGACGAGACCCTCTTCATTGACCAAAAGCTGCGACGCGTCACGTTCGGAGTCGATCGATCGACGCGGACAGTGGCTCGCGACTCGCGATCGCTCGCCAATTACTATACATTTGGCATTAAACGTACGGTTATCGTATATGCGTGGATATATAAATCTCGAGTCGAAGCGTGCTAGTCGCTTCTCGTCGCGCGGAGCGTTTTCGCTCGGCCGAATAAATGGCGCGAGCAGGTAGCTACGGAACGTTTTCCTTCGAACAGGCGGTTCTGCGGCTGCTACGGCGGCGATCGAACGCGCGCCCGATCGATCCTTCACGGATCGAGGATCGATCGGCGGCGCTCGGCGTCGCCGGATGGCTCGCGGCGCGCGCCTCTCGTCCATTCGTCTCCCTTTCTCTCTTTCGTTTTGATTGTGAGCTGTCGATCCCGTTTCGAGATCGATATACATGGTATACTCTCGCGTCGCTGCGAGGACGAATCGTCGCGCGGGGAGATCGAACAACTCGAGCAGCCGCGCTCGATCGCGATCGAGCTATCGCTCGAAAGAGCAGGGGCCGCGGAGCGGACCAAGCCCGCCGCGAACGCCGATCCAACACGATTAGCTCTTTCGTCCTCGGCCCTGTTCGGCTTACTATTCGCAGCGGGAGTCGGTTAGCGGCTCCAGCTTCACCGGTATCTTGTCTTTGTCCTTGAGTCCGTGGGGACTCTTGACGAGGTCCGCGATGTCCTCCTGGAAGAGATTCTCGGGCCGCGGGCTCACGAAGCTCCGCGTCGGCTTGTAGGTCATTCCGCTGACGCCGATTCCGACCTCCACGCTGCTCGGTATGTGACCCGGGTCCATCAGAGGGCCCAACGGACTCGCCAACGGACTCTCCATCGGGCTCTCCGGCGGACCGCCGGACCCTGGACTGGCCAGACCCAGATTCAACGGCGAGTTACCGTTGTTACCGCCGCCACCGACGCCCACGCCGACGCCCACGCCTCCGCTGCCGTTGTTGCTACCGATAATACCGGCACCGCTGTTGTTGCTGTTGTGGTGGTGCTGGCTGGCCTGCATCGCCGCTTGCAGGTTCGACGAGAGGCTGGTCGACAGGTTCGCCGAGAGATTCGTCGACAGGTTCGTCGCCATCATGTCGTGCTGCTGCGAATGCGCCGCCGCTACCATGCTGCACATCTGATGCCGCAGACCTGCGCCAGCAAACGACCTCCATGTTATCCTTTCTAAATGTTAGGCATGGAAGGATTTGAAAAAGCGTGAGTTGGAACAACCGTTCGACAGGCTTTGGTGTCTGATCGAGTAACGTATCCGTCCTTTGTGTCTGTCGGGTGTGTTTCACGCGGCAGAGTCGAATGTATCGCTGGAAGATGAGACGGACCAGCCAACGAACATGTTTTTACTTGTATTCTCTTTTCCAGAAATAAGAGATACGATATGTCAAAGACTGTCGAGTATTGAATAACCCGTTGCAAGAGTTAAGAGCCAGAGTGGCGAAACTTTGACAAAACGCGACGATCGAAACACCAAGAAAAATCAAACGTTATGCCAAGATTGTCGGAGGAAAGGTTGGATCGCGAACCGTGTGTGCTGGGTGTGGAGATCAAGGACGAGAAGCGGAAGAAGAAGAGTTGGAAAAGACGTTACCTTGAGCGACCGCGGCAACCGCGGCCGCGGTCACGGCTCCGGGGCTGACCGCACCTTCCGGTCCGTTACAAGCCGCGTAATTCGCCAAACTCGGGTACATGGAGGTCGGTTCTTCCTTGACGATGTGCGGAGAGTGACCATCGCGGAACACCACTGCTCGAATCACTCCGCGGATGTGCTCGTCGGGCCAGACACCTAGTAGAATCCTCTGCGGCCTGCCTCTTCCCTTCGGGCGAAGATCTGAGCAACCCAGAAGCGCCGGAAATCGTATTTAGGGATCGAAAGCTGGCTCTATTGGAGTACTCGCGACGATCTGCCGTTTCTCGACACCCGACGCCCCCGACGTTCTTCGCGTTTCCGATTTATCCTTATATCGTTCCTCGTTAAATTACCTACCTTTCCTTCTACGTTGAAGCGCGAATCAGGTACCGTGCGAAAAATCGAGTTTCGAGCCAAGGCGGCATAAACAATGTACAGCGTGTAGGACTCATATGTTATCTGTATAGTTTTAAGAAGAAATTATGCATATCAAATGGCTGCGCTGTCGCTTGTCGGAAACTTTATAAACGTAATATATACAATTTTTGGAAAGTTTCATGCATAATTTCTTCTTGGAACTTGAGTGAAACGGGGTTTGCACTCCAAATTCATCCTTTTGCAAAACAAATTTAACACCGTGGTGTTCCATGTCAGGGCAACTGACCCTGCGCTAAAGCATCTGATTTGCAAAAGGGTGAATTCGATCTGTGAAAGGGTTAATTCGGAGTGCAAAGCCTGTGTCGGTCAAAATGATCCCCGCGAGTCCCTCCAAAAAACGAATTGGCAATTAATCGACGCTCAATGGACGCGGAGTGATCAAGGTCGGCGGGATTCGTTTCTCGAGATCGCGTTTCCGGTAGATCCGTGAGACGAGAAACGGCCGTGACGCGAGGGTTTAGTGAAAATGGCAACTAACACTCACCGGCCCCGCCGTCGGCGCTCGGACCCAGCATGTTGTGCACTCGATTAGCATAGAGAACGAACGTCGGGTACGGGATGTCGTATTTCCTGAAACAGAAACCACCAACGAGTCTTGGAAAAAATTCCTTGCTGTCGGTCGATCCTAGAGGGACGATCGATTTTCGTTAAGATTGCCGTTCGAGGGTCTTTGACCGCGTTTTTGCGTTCAAAGAAAGGGACTTTGTAATGGCAACGCGTACGTCGGCCGAGTTTTACGACCGGGGGATACAATTTCCGAGAACTCGCGTTCTTCGGAGCCCGACGCGACCGATTGTTTACTAGCTGCTCTGACTCGTTTGGGACGCGGTCGAATAGTACTACAGCCGACGAACGAAATTATCGGGTTAGGTCTGCTGTGTAAGGTCTCATTCTAGCACGAATCGTTACAACGAAATCATCCAGCGTACATTATCCACTGATGGATTTTATATTACTCCTAACATATTTAACGTATGCGTACGACAGGGATCGGTTTCGGGGTTTAAAATGGTTCGTGGATAACTTATATTCCGAATAGATGTTTGAATAACACTTTGAAATAATCATTTTTCGAACTTTTTCAACATTGGTTTTAGAAACTCCGGTATTGAGTGAAATCCAGGTAGAAAAGTGTGCCAAGACTCAAACAAGAGGGTACGAAAACACCGTGTAAGTGAATTAAAACTGCAGCGACTGTTTCTGGATGGCTGGATGACAAATCAACAATGGATCGACGAAAAGTTTGGGCCGTGCGAAACCTTATCTACTGAAAAGAGTGAGTAACAAATTCCTTGGAAAATACTCGTTTATTTAGTATTTACATGTACACACTTTGCGATAATTTTTCCAACGACAACGAAATTCACGAGCAAATATCGTAAACAAAAGGAACCGACGACTCTTATTCTTTTCGACATTTTTACTCTTAGCGAGAAGCAGAATTTTGTTAAAAGTTCTCTCGACTTGTTACAGACGCGAGTCTCGTAACCCTTGCTCGTCCATCGAATTTGCCGACAGTTTCGTTTAAAATTCGGCATTTCGTTATATCGGTCCGATGAACTTTCTTAGTTTAATTTACTCCGTCGCGCCGCAAATATCCACCTAATAATGAAATTCTTCTCAGCGAGTTCCTTAAACGAGGGGGGAAACGTCTGACGCGGACATAATCCAGACGATTCGACTGGTTAAATAGCGACGCGACGCGCTTCTCTATTCAGCAAACGTGCGAAATTTAGCTTTAACGGTGTTTGAGTGACGGAGAAACGACGACCGCAAACGAAAACGAACCGACCCAACCGATTTTCCATGATTCCAGTGCGAAATAATTCGCGAGACTCGCGAAAAACTCGCTGTTTCCATCGTGTTCCATAACTTCTGATTTCTTACGTCTCAAAGTCTCAAACGATCGTAAATTTAATCGCTATTGCGTTTCCTATGAGCAGATACTCTCGAATGCGAAGCTTTCGTTCTATAGAAACACGTTTCCTCTCTTTCTCTTTGGGCTTTACGATCGAATCGGGCAATCTGTAGAGTTTTAAAAAAAATCGACCCTCCTCTCGATCGAATCGTATTCAAAATATCGAGGACATAATAGTGAAACTCGAGAAACGTTTAGATATTTAATGGTAAGGAAAAGTGTGTTACCTTGCGGCTTGGCTCAAGGACAGTCCCTCTTTAAGGACGCTGAAGATCGCCTCCGCCATCGTTTCCGGTCGCCAGGATTTGAGGGGCCCGCGTTCCCTGAAGCGTAGATTGTGCACCAGGCTCTGATTGGTGTTCCAGCACTTCTGCCACATCGACTGCAGCTGATATTGGTAGCTGTCTGCTAGTTTACGCCCCCCGCGGAAAAGAGAAAACAGAAAAAGCACAGCTTTAGTAAATGTTCGCGTTTCGATCGGGGATAGGAGACGCGAGAGAAAAAATCGATAAGCGGTTATACGTAATATCGATCGCGACCAACTTTTCGATCGTTTCTCGGTCGGTTCCCGCGTGGTCGAATTTCGTTGTTTCGCGATCGTTCGAGAAGTTGGTCGCGCGATCAACGGCGAAAGAGTTGGCGCGAACGAAATGTAAATTTATTCGAAACCTCTCGAATCGTCACGGTGGATTCGTGTACGACCGAACGATTCGAGGGAATGGCGTAAATAGCGTATATAACCAGACACACGCAGGTAACTCGAGTCAAGGTGCAAGTATCACGTGGATAGGTTCCCTCGTAGCTGGTCGGCCGAAGCGTACCTGCGAACAGAGCATTGAAAGGCAAATTGCGGCGGGAAATCGGGGACGGGGAATAAAGACACTCCGCGTCGTGTACGTTAAACGTATCGATTGTATTATCGTTGGCCGTACAATCGCTGCTGAATAAAAGTGAGAGAATGAGTTCGTAACGGAACGTAAGCGCGCTCGTTTAATAGAAAATATTTTGCTTAACGTTAAACCAGTAATCGCAGGCTTCGCAACCGTTTGCCTCCGCGCGCGATACAACTCGAACATACCGGCTACGCCACGGACGGTTGGCCTCAATTCGCAACGATTATTTAATAGTTAACTTATTGGGTTTAATTGAGCATCCTCCAATTTGACGATTAATACAATTAATTGGAAAGACGGACGCGTGTACCGACGCGCACGCGTGCCACGGCCGGGGACCGCGAGTCGTTCCTCTCCGTGTTCCAAGGATCGCGATCGGGCAATCGACAGAAACCCTTTTAGGACCCTACCTTCGGATATTTCCCAATTTCTCTACATCCAAAAATTACTAACAATATTTTCAAAACCATAGACTCGATCGTTGTTGCGTCCGATAGGGAGCATTTCGGCGAAGAAACATTTTTGCACAAAGACAATAAAAGTAATTAAATATGAAAGAATATGCGTCGTGTTTGGTCTTGGCGGAGGCAATTTTTTTTATCGAATTAATTGTCCCGATGGCACGAATTTCCGGTGTTTCCGCAATTACGGCGCCTGCCGTGTCAGAGAATGCGTAACGGCAATAACGATCGAGTCTCCGGGTCGTTTGTAACTTCAGGGATGCCCTGTAACGCTGTAAATTCTGCATTCCTCGCATCGCGGCCTTCGCGAACGGGGCCCGTTTTCGAGCGACAAAAGGGACGGTAGTTCGGAAGCTCACGGAATTCTCCAAAGTATCGGAACCCCGTCGGCTTACGGTTATCTCGGCCGGAAGATCAATTAACGGCAGGCTTCCGGGTCGGAGGATTCGCGGACCCGGCGCCTGTACGTCGCGACGCGTCCACGAAACGCGAAACGAAACGAAAGAACTCGTTTCGGCGAGGTAGCGCTAACAATTCGACAGGCCGTTCCGTTACAGACAGGCTACCTTGGTGTCCTCGCGATTTATAAACGGTAAGAAAGGAGAAAAATAACGAAGGTGTCGCAAAGTGGACTGTCCGTAACGGGACTCCTCTGTATATTACGGAATGAAGAATCTTAACGCTAAAGTGTCTACGTGTCTCGTTGACCGAGTAACGCGTTTCTTCTCGTCGAGCGATGCTAACAAGGAGAGCGCAAGAACTTCGAGTCGCCCATTTTAACTGAAACTTTGCTACCAGGTTTCGAACACCCTCTTTACGAAAATGTACCATTGCTCCAGAAACTAAAGATTCTTTCAATTTTATTTATTTTTACATTTGTCCAACAGTTTTGACCGCGATGGTCAATCGAAAATTGTTTCTCGCAAAGAGGCTGCCCGAGTGAACCGATACGCGAAGTTTGAGGGAAATCGTCGACCCCGAGGGTCTTGCACGGTTCTTGTAAGAGTATATATTGCGAGAGTCGGACCGCGAATTCGTCGAATAATTGCTGGAGTTCGGTTTAACGCGAACTCTGATGCAATTGAAGCGCAATGACGCACGAGCGCCCGTTCGAGTATTACCGCGACGCGAAAGCGACTATCGTGTGTTTACCAACGGGACCACGAGTTAATTCGTGTTGCGCAATGTATGTACAAAGGACGCGTATCTCGGGCGGCACTGCGCTCTGAAAACTGTCGCTTATTCGCTACAGCCGGGACAAAAGCTTTTAACCGTTCAAGGTCGCTTCTCCGGAGCGGCAATCGCGTCGAGCACACGAGCTTCGCCTTTTACGGCCCTGTCTGTCGCCTGTGCATCGCGGTTCCTGCCGTCTTCCGCTTTCTTCTTCGCCGCTTCCACCCTCTCTGTTTCGTGAGACTAAACGTTCCGTTTCACGACCCCGAGCTGTTTAAACGTTTGCCCCGACTTCGGTTACAGCGATGGGATCGTTACCTATCGATAGTGATCGATTCGATGCCACAGTACTCGACAGGAAGTACTATTAAAAGGTGAAAAGATGACGAGCATGCAAGAATCGAAATTCCTTAGCATCGTCATCTTTCCAGCTCCGAATAGTAGGTAACACGCGGTAACACACGGTCGGTAACACGATAAAAAGCAGAGTAATTCGTGTTGATAAAGTAGGAAGACTGTAACGGGGTAGATGGCGCGATCGATTCGTTTTAAGCTCGTATTAATTGATAATCCTAACAAGTACTTGTTATCGCTTTGTGTCTTGGAGTAAAGAAGTAAAAAATTATAAAATGGCGTCGATCCCATCGCTGGTTGTAGGAATGCACGATCTTGTACGACAGACTACACTAACAACTATAATAATTTCGTACTCGACTCCCGTCGAGGATAAGGCTAATTTCATTACCACGAACAACATTCGCAGTCCATTTATTGCTATACGCGATCGGACGGTTTCGTAATCGCAAACAATCGTACAAAATAATCTCCGACGTTCGATTTCCGAGACTTGCCCGTCGTCGATAATCGCGCGCGACGCGTTATATATTAATTTCTAACTTGGGGGATCGTACGCTTTGCACCATAATCGTTGCTACTTGGACTCGAGTCGCCGACGAAAAACGACGGCTAAATTTACCCTAAATTCTATCGAGTGGAAGACGCCGAGCAGAAGGCACTAATGCTGTCGTCGGTTATAATCGTTGGCCGCGACAACGTAATATATATTATCGTTCTTATCACTATAAAACATTGCTATTAGTGCTATTATTGCTATCCGTTTATCGTTAATTTGATTGGTCCCGCTATAAAAGAGTAAGCGTAGATTTCGAACGCGAATTGGGTTCGTTCGCGAGTACGGAATGTGCGTGGAATGTGGAAAAATATGTCGATCGAAAAATAGAAGGATGGAACGCGAGACGATCGTCGATCGGTAAAATCTAATCTCTGAGAAGGTCTCGTTAAAAAAGGCACGTTATTCTCTATATAAGAGCCTCTGACGATACGAGACTTGCCTCCAGGCATGCCCGGGGCCAGGCTCGATCGCTTGGAGGCCCGTTCTGGAAGACGACGCCGCGCCGTCGAGAAATGTCTGTTCTCGCGAAGCGAGTCGATCCGTTCCATCGGTATCGAATCTCGACTATTTATTTACTGATCGTTCTCGTTCTCGTCGTTGAAGTAAAGCGAGACTATAGAGTGCTTTTTACAGAATGCCCACCACCAGCGGAAGCCCGAGAGACCGTTAAAGACGAAGCCTGGATCGCGTTTTCGCCGTAGCTTCTCCACGAAGTTCAGGATCGCGTTTAGGGACTTTTTGGTGCGACGATTGTAGGGACTGACGCTGATGTCGCAGCAGAACTCGAGGACGGCCGTCTCCTCGCTCGAGTTCAGTCCCGCCTCTTCGAGGACCATCATTCTCTTCGTCTTGCCGAGGATGTTGTCGTAGAGGGTGCCTTTCGGTATTCCGTATTTGGTGGACGCCTGGGTGAATCGCATCTTCTGAGTGACCACGGCCTCGATCGCTTCCTGGAGATCGTGCCGCGTCCACGTGGGCGCCTTCAGCTTCAGCAGGGTCGTATAGTCAGCTAGAAAACAGTCAGGGATTTCGACTTTTTGTTTGGTGACGCCCTGGCTGCACCCAACCCAGATCGACCGATCTTGGAGGTACATAGCTGGCCGGCGAAACACCCCTTTTCTTTTTTGCTTTTTCCGACGCCCCTAACCCTCCCAGGATCTCTCCGTACCCCTTTGCTTCTCTTTCTGCTCCCTTCGCGCGCCTCGTCGACTCTTTCCTTTCTCGAAAATCACGACGGGAGAGGGTGGTAAAGGCTCGTTATCTTAATATAAAATCGCGCGAAAGGGTCGAAAAGAAACGGGGATGCGGTTGGACGAGTCGGACGAACACACAATGGCGCTTGCTTTACAAAATTCGTTAAACCCTCGAAATACTAGCCCCTCCAAGTCGGAACGCGTTGATAGCAATATTTGCGCCGACAATTTTTTCAGAACTTGCAACGATCGATCGTATCTACGACCGTTCCTTTATCTTAAACTTCCTTTCGAACGCCAGCTGTATAATTACATTTGTTGCAGAATTAATTGCGTCGACCAAATTGGTTTCTCGGAAGCAGCGAAAAGTAAAGAGTGCGACCGGAGCAAGAAATCCATTCGTCGCGTGTGCTCGCGGTATCGCGTGTTTTCGCGTTTCCAATGCATGTACGACGAGTACCATGCGCGTCGTTGATGCAATTATAAATGAAAGCAATTAACAAAAAAAAAAAGAAAAAAAATATGGAAAATTCAATGAATGAGATTCAAACCAGGAGTACATAAACCGTGGGACTTATTCATCGGGATACTTGGACGAAAGAGATTCACAGTAAGATACATTAGGTCAAGTTGGGTTGTTCTAATTACTTGTGTCTCTAAAAGCATACGTTGCGCCGAATATTTAACGGATAGTAACAAGAAAATCACCCTGTAAAAGTTGTAGGACACTTTTAAAAATGTATATTTTAGTACGCGTTGCGTGGCGGGAGGGAAAGAACGCGCGTGGGAGTTTGCAGCGCAGTCGGTCGCGCGTTATCGATGACATTAACAGCCTCGCCGCTTGGTTATCTACCTAAATTGCTTTTCGTGTTGAAGCAACGCGCATCCCCGCGCTTTATTATCGTCAGGATAACGACGCGGCCCTTCTGCCGTCTCTGTCGTTTCTTTCTCCGGTTCGGTCTTCTCTATTTTCGACTCTTCTGCGTCCGGTCGAGCGTCCATTTCGGCCTCCCCGTTTCTTTCCTCCCTTTGTTCCTCGTCGTAGCTATCCTGATCGGTTAATCCATGAGCTATAGACCGGTTGGGAAAGCAGTCGACGGCGGAAAGGGAAATCTCTCGAGTGCAAGGAGCACCGAACGAATGTGTATCGCGCGACCTTCCGAAAATCGGTAGCGGACGTAGCGCGCACTTGTCCTCTCGACCTGAGATCTTTCGATCGATCGATTACTCGAAGAAGAAAGGATCGTTAGGTGGTATCACCGTTTCCTGAAATGCGCTGCCGCGAGACAGCGGTCAGAGACCATTAGGCAAGCGTGGAGAAACGTTGGGCAACTTACCTGCTATACTCGACGTGGAGGCTCCGAGCCAAGCGTGGGATGACTCCAACAACTTGGCCTGTAACAAGAAAAAGAAAAGAACGTTGTAGAGATTGCGTTTACGTCGAATACGTGCGAATAAAACGTAGAAATCGAGGGGAATCTTTAAAATTATCAACGCGTTGCTGAAGATACGTTCTTATATTGGGTCTGTTGCGTTACTCGATGGTCGTACGGCGGGATAGGGTTAAAATGGAGGCGGCGATCTCGGCGGGAAGAGTACGCGGAGGCTGGAAGATGCTCGACGGACGCGATCGCGGCGTAACCGCTTCCGGAGAACGGAGGCCCGCGTCTCTGTCGAGACAACTTTGCTAATATGCGAGGCTTTTCGGGACTCTAGAAAGGGGTTGCGAGACGCGCCGAAAGCGCAAGACACACGCAAAGTTGGCTCATTTGAAAAGTTTTCGTCCGCGGTCTGACGCGGCTCGCGATTTCCGCAATACGGAAGGTCCCAGCCTACCTCGAGACTTCTCATATATCCGAATCGTTCGTATCCGGAACCCACTCGGCTGACTTTTCAAATTAATTTTTAAGGGCCGAAGGGCCTCGCCTCTCGTTTGATACGCGCCTCGATCCTCTATCAAACTCGAAACCCTTCTTCTTGCCCCCCCCCACCCCCTCCACCCATCGTCGCTTTTTTTCTCGTTGCGTTACGCCCCGCGTTCGTTCTCCAGGATTTCGAACCCCCGCCTTCCGGCCTCCAGGAATTTCCGCTCGGAGGCCGTCGAGAGGCTCGCGCTTTCCACGAACTTCCGCGGAAATCTAATACCATTGTGTCTTCCGCTTCTTGTAAATTTTTACCCTCGGTTCAGCCAGAAATATAAGAATTTTTTCGAGACAGTACGTTCCTCTCAACAGCCTTGATATTTAGAAAAATATAATATTTCGTGGCCCCATCTTTAAAAGAAAATAACAATTTCCGAGCAATTTGGCCTCGGTACGTCGCGATAATCGATGCATTATCCTCGCGGAGGATGTTATTGTGCCTAAACGCGAGCGAAAATGAATGGCGGAACAAAGACCGTCGGAACGGGCTCTATTCGCCGTACAACGGAGCCGGCATTACGAAAGAATGTAGACGAAGCATTCGAGTTAATAATACTTGTAATAGTAATTCAAGGCGCGGCTGTGCGACGGTTCAGAACCTTGAATAAGAAGATAAGGTCCGTGATTGTCCTACGTTCCTTCGAGATGACGACGCATAATTTATTCATACCGTGGACGTATGCGCGACGCAAGACGTTACGAGAGACCCGGATTGGTGAACGGAGAATAATTAATGTTGAATTAGGCAGCTGTACTCTATGTGGAAAATGAACGCTAAAAATAGACGTATTAACGCATCCAGGACCGGAAACGAGATTCCTCTTCGTTACGAATCCTGTTACACTTATCAGATAAAAAAAGTTTCGTTTAAGCGTATACCAAAATACTAAGTTTAGCTAAAATCGCTGGTCCCACATCGTATCAAAGTACAGTATCTTCTATAATATAAGTTATTATTACCGTAAGACGAACGAACTATAGAATAAACAGTATTTGTGTGGAAATGTTAATCGTTGGTTTGCTAACAAATACCTGGAATAGGATCTGATTTAATTAGATTACTTTTAAACGGCCGGTAACGAGAAAGCGATACGCGGTAGGTAAAGGCCTCGGGAAATAATTAAAGCGATTAAACCGAACGCGCGAGCGTCGTTGATACGAGCGTTATTAATCTTGAGCAGAAAAATGAAATCGTCGAGGACAAAACTATCATGAATAGTCAGTAGGTTGAGACGATTCGGAGTGAGCGTGTAGAGGTGATCGATTCTGTCCATATAATGACACCAGGCTGCGCGCAGCGAATCGGAAAGAATTTTTGTTGAACGTTATTCTTTTTTCTCTCTCTCTCTCTCTCTCTCTCGACCGCGGTAATGCATTTCGCTCGACGGTACGATGAAATTACGCCCGGTACAATCGAGGTGAGAACGGAACAAGAGAGTTGCACGGTATTAAGTAAGTTTGCGAGCTATTAAAATCCTTCATAAAACGCTTGATAAAACCTAATTGTCTCGTAGTAATATCGATAACGGTGTGTATTGATATGCAGAACGAACGACAGAGACGAGTCGAATGTAACGCCAAAGTCGCGTACTATGTAAATGAGTGTCAGCGGTATGCGATTAAGCGCGTAAAAAAAAAAAGTTTAGCGTACCGTGTGACCGCGAAATATCGAGAGTAAGCTTATTATTATTACACCGACGCCCGTCCAGCCGCGAAACGAAAGTAAGAGATAAATATTTGAAACAATACTTTAGTCTTTCGTGTACGGAGGTAATCGAAGTATCGATTTATTTGTAACAATAGGTTACACGACGAAGTTAGTTTATTATTTAAAGTAATTTCGAGTAAAGTTTGTAACTGGATATTTTGAGCGAGCCTCGCGAAACATCGACGATAGAATTTTTTTTTTTCCACGCGACTAGGAATACGTATTCGCAATCGCGAATAGAGACTTAATAAGTTTTCAACGATGCATACAACATTTTCGGTTTATTTTTAGTCGCGGAATGTGCTAGGAAAATTTTATGTGTGGAAACCTGTTGAACGCTTATACTTATAATTTATATAAGTCCCTGCTACATCGTGTATTTGAAATTATAAATATGTATGATGGATGAGAAATACGTATTAATAATATACAATATACGTCGTACGATGTACAGGGTGTTCGGTCACCTTTGGGAAAAATTTTAATGGGAGATACTAGAAACTAAAATAAGACGAAAATCAAGAATAGCAATTTGTTGATTGAGGTTTCGTTAAAAAGTTATTAACGATTAAAGTTCCGCCTGCGAACTGTCGCTATAGAGTGGTTCTCACTTACGAATCTCTAAGGCTGTCGATACGTCACTAACTAGAGTTTTTTATGCTGAGTGAGAACCACTATCACCCGCACGCAATTTCTCCAATGCAAATTTGCCTCTCCCACTCCAGTGTTTTGTATTGTTCGGTATTTTTAGATATCCCGCGACCAAAAATACGAATGTCGACCTCTGTATCGTTTATCGGGAAATCAAGAAAACTGGTACAGCAGTGTTTGAATTATCAGGCACCCCGTTATCCGAATAACTATAACAGAAGATGGAAAAATTTTTCGGCGAAATTAAAAAATTTCAAATCATTCTAAAAAAATTATTTTTAGTTGCAGGGGTCAATTACAATCATTTTTTGTCGTTACACATACCCCCGAATTCCTACTCACTTTCGAGAAAAAAATTCGAGAAGGTGTGAAATTTTTCGACAAAAAAAAAAATTTCAAATCGTTTTGAAAAAATTATTTTCGGCTGCAGGGGTCAATTACAATAATTTTTGGTGAATAGACATACCCCCAAAATCTTACCCACTTTCGAGAAAAAAATTCGAGAAAGTGTGAAATTTTTCGGTGAAAAAAAAAATTTCAAATCGCTCTGGAAAAATTATTTTCGGCTACTGAGGTCAATTACAATAATTTTTGGTGAATAGACATACCCCCGAATTCCTACCCACTTTCGAGAAAAAAATTCGAGAAGGTGTGAAATTTTTCGACAAAAAAAAAAATTTCAAATCGTTTTGAAAAAATTATTTTCGGCTGCAGGGGTCAATTACAATAATTTTTGGTGAATAGACATACCCCCAAAATCTTACCCACTTTCGAGAAAAAAATTCGAGAAAGTGTGAAATTTTTCGGTGAAAAAAAAAATTTCAAATCGCTCTGGAAAAATTATTTTCGGCTACTGAGGTCAATTACAATAATTTTTGGTGAATAGACATACCCCCGAATTCCTACCCACTTTCGAGAAAAAAATTCGAGAAGGTGTGAAATTTTTCGACAAAAAAAAAAATTTCAAATCGTTTTGAAAAAATTATTTTCGGCTGCAGGGGTCAATTACAATAATTTTTGGTGAATAGACATACCCCCAAAATCTTACCCACTTTCGAGAAAAAAATTCGAGAAAGTGTGAAATTTTTCGGTGAAAAAAAAAATTTCAAATCGCTCTGGAAAAATTATTTTCGGCTACTGGGGTCAATTACAATAATTTTTGGTGAATAGACATACCCCCGAAATCCTACCCACTTTCGAGAAAAAAATTCTTTACCGCAAATATAATGTTTAAGAAACGTTTTTGGGTAGATTTTGTAAAAATTGTGGGTCAACGAGTTAGTTAAGCAGTACTTGGAAGGTATTTCCATCGCTAGCGAGTCAAAATCAGTTTATATTAGAGCGAGAAAGAAAGAGCTGTTCCGGATTAAGGGGAATGTGGCGGTACGAGTAAGTAGAATGTGGACGGCGTCGAGTAATTTGCCTTATAAAGGCTGACTATAACGTCTGACCCAATACGACTCGAAAGGTTCTTTTTTCTTCGTAGAATATACGCGGGACGTCATCGACAGAGGTTATTCTAGAAAATAATTTAAGTTTGCCGGTAAATTGCATTCTACGAAGCATCGACCACATCATTTATAAACATAAAGAAAAGTAAAGGGTTCGGTTGTTCTCGACGGATCGAAGGAACCCAGATATCGCGACCATTCAATAAGATAGACTATTCTTGATTAAGTATTACAACAATACGTTACAAATCTTAATTTTTGTGTTCATGTTGAATACATAAAAAATAGTATAGGACAACATATAAAAGAACAACAAAGTTTACCGCGTTATCGACTAGGTCAGTTACATCGTGGTGTTATAACCCGATGTACGAGCAAGTTAGTAGCATAATCCAGCAGGTTAATGTCTCCATACAGTTCCCGTGTAACTGATAACCTAACCTTAGGGTCAGAATCCCTGATTCCGATCGCGTTGGTTGCCAACGAAAAATTGTTGTTCGTCGCGTGGGAAATTTGGGCGATTTCGGGCAGCGGTAGGATACCGGTTAAATAATTTAGAGAGTTTCCGGTATCGAATGGTGCCCGGTAGCGGAGAAAACGTCGCGGCGCGGGCGATCGGACGATGCACGCGCGTCTCGAGGAAACCGCAGAACGAGCGGCGTG